TAAGATTGTTTATGTATAGATTATAAGAAGCATAAAAAAAAATGATGTTCTCACTTGTCAATGTCCTCGAGGAAATTTTGGTATTTTAGCGAAAAAGAAGGAAAAACAACGCTCTGGCAGCTTCACTACATATCTCGCCATTTTGGCTCACTACATCTAGCAAGAGGAGAGAGAAATTCAAGGCTCGCCAAATTTGAAAGCTACGCAAGAGAGAGAGAGCGAGAGAGAGAGAGAGAGAGCGAAAGAGAGAGAGAGAGAGAGAGAGATGGGAGGAAATTGTTATCTTATCTTTTATTTTTAAGTTTCAAGTCAATACAGTACAGGGTTCACTAGCAACTAAACCTTTGAAAACATTGTACTCGGCACGTAACCTTTTTGATGGCAAATATAACAGATTTCATGGAAAGGACCATTTTAACAGTCAAAACGGAACTGCATGGGCAATATGATTCAAATTGAAAGTCAAGGAGTAAAGAAACAGGCCAAAGCTTTGACAGAGTAACCAAATGGCAAACTTGGCAATTGTATGCTCTCATACTGTGAATGATGTTTCCAAGGCACTTTCAAAATTGCTGAAAGCAAAATTATCCAATATTTTAACAGTATAGCCGCACGGCTATACGCTTTAAACACATATGAATTTGTTAAAAGTATAGCCACGCAGTGGAAGAGCAGGGTTGTCAAGTGCAATAAGAAAAAGGCTATAATTGGGTTTAGTTCATAATTACGATGGATACAATTTAGAAAGTAAATTACTATATAGGCAATTTTATACTATGAAATTCAACATTCTTTGATCAACAAAATGTTGGCAAATCCTTTTATTTTATTTTATTTTTATTGGTATTTATGGGTTTAACCTGTATTATTTGTTATAAATAAAATTCATTTTTTATTCTTGCCCAATGGGCGAATAGCTGGAAATCATTAGAATGTGAGGTATCGGAAAGAATTTAAATTCTCATTCCCTAATATCACTTGTATAAATGAAGTAATTGAATGAATAACTTAAGCCCAATGGGCTAAAGTGGTATCTTGGCCCTAACCCTAAAATCATATGACAAAATTGTATATTTAAAGAGTTTCGGCAATACTCTTTTAATATATTTGAACATTTCAAAGGTATTGTTGCGTGACTATACACTTTAACATTTTAAAAATTAAAAACGTATAGCCAAGCGGCTATACTCGTTAAAAATATTCACGTTTTTTGGGGACAGAGAAACGAACACGAAGCTTGCAGTCGGAGTCACAGCCGTTTCCAAGCTTCAAAGACTCGATCTTGAGCCTATCTCTCAACTCATGTTTTTTTTTTTTCTTCGGTTTCGGCTGCTGCGTTGATTTGATTGGATTGGGCCCTTTCAATGTATGTAAAGATAGAGACTTCGTACTCCAGGCTCGGCACCGAAAAAAGACCCAACTTGCCTAGCAGCCTAGAGCCCGCCTAGGCCAATTTTTTTATCACTACAATTGACTGAAAGTCTGAAACCCCAAACTGAAAATTAAAATATCGACATGTAAAAGTTGTCAAATTGTTGGAGTTCCACGACCGCAAGAAAACCAACAATTCAATGACCAAAAAAAGATCATGGAGTTGTACAGAAAATTCAAAGTTCCAAAATAAGTTGGATTAAATCACTACTAATATAATCTCCACTTTAATCTAACAAATGAGTGAAAGAAACAAATGAAATTGACATTTTCAAACTCAGAAAGTATAGAACGAACTCGGAGAAATCCTTGAACTAATGTGAAACCGAGACATTCATTGCATCTCATAGAACCTGACCATGGCAATTCTCTAAACCACATTCAAACATTGAAATTTCCTTGTATATCTCCTATTTTGGGAATGGAAGGAGTAACAACACCAGCAATAGTAGCAGTAGAAACAATCATTCTATTCATAACCGAACCGAACTTCAAACAAATACTTAGTCGCATCCATCTCATCACATTTACCTTGGAACCCCTTCATGGAGATTATCCTAATGTGTGAAGACAAACAAGTAAGCACAAATGCTGGTGGACGGAAAGGATTGTTTTCTGTGTTCAACATACTATCAAGGTCTAGGATAAGAGATTCTAGATTAGGTGATCGGTTCATATATTCTATGAGCAATGTCCAGTAACCAAAATGAATGAGTCCAAGCTCCAACTATTTCAAATGTTTAAAGATAGCAGACAAAAATAAACCATCCAAACTAGAAGCTGAAGAGAAAGATACGTAACATTGGAAATTCCTACAATAAACAGAGGCACAAGGTAATCACAGGCTAGACTTTCACCTACTGGAAGCCTATAGGGACGAATTTTGGCTGCGGATTTTAGAAAACATAAAATGGCATATGAGCACCAACTGAAGACATCGACAATCAGGTTTTCAAGCTTTGGGGAATTGATGAAGAGTTGGAACGTACGATTATTTCTAGTATTTGTGATGCTTGTCTTCAATTCAGGGGCAGAGATTTTAAATCAACTCTAAAATTGCCGAGTATAGTCAAATCTTCAAGTACGGGGCACTTAGAATAAAGTTTCTCCATTGAGACACCATCTCCCCCATCAAATCTAACACAGAGGTACTCGAGACTCAGGAGATTGTCCTACATGTAATGCCAGTGCACATAAGAATGGTTTCTTCCCCTATTCTTGTGTTAAATATCCCTAGGTGCCCTTTTGACATATGATAGTATCTCTTTATAGATCGAAGACAACTTGAGAGACTTCTTGGCGGGGAAGCGATGATGCCTTCCCCACAAGATCCTGAGCACTTCAGCTATCCTATCATGGAGTTTCTATAGTCTTGCCAATAACAAGGTTCGGTTTCTGACTATTTGTTTGTGGTTTGTTAAGCAATAAATTGATTGGTTTGGTTCTTCTTGCTTGAAACTTGATAAATCTTGATGCATTCAATATTCATCCATTGATGGTTCTTCTTGGTTGGGCTACTTTTCATTCTTTGGATATTGCATTTCTATTATAGATTTTAACATTTGATCATACCCTCAAGTATACCCAGTTTAATTTTCCTTGTAAATGTAAATGTAGCATTTTTGTTGTTGTGGAATGTGTGCAGGTGTCCTGGCCTTGTGACTTCGAGTTTACCAGTAAATTTATTGGACAACAAACACACGAACCTAGAGCTGATTGGCAAGTGGAAAATTTGGAGGTGTTATCATTGGGTTCATACTTAAATTTGGCCATAATACTTGGAATTATACAAAAGCATTGCAAGAATTTTTATGGTTTAGATTTGTCCAAAGGCTCTGTTCATGGGCGTGAGGCATATTGTCAATTGTGAAGTTGGTGCCTAATATCAAGTACTTAAATTTGAAGGGTGCAAAAGTTAATCGGGATGGTCTTGTCACGTTGCTATGTGAATGCAAAGGTTTGGTGATGTTGGACGTCAGAGATTGTTATGGTTTCGATGAGAACAACGATGAAATATCAAAGCTTGCGTCTCATATTAGTAAATTTAAGTGTGAAAGGGTTCTAAATTTCTTGAATTTCTTCGTGGTATGGACAATTTTGTTCTTTTTGTTGATGGATACTTATTTCATGTGCATGTGGAGGAGATGTGGGATGAAATGCTCAATGATTTGTGCGATGCGTTCAATGATTTGGGCGACGAGGAATGAAGAACTACTAAATGATATCTCATCTTTTTTTATATTTACAACATTGAAGAGCAATTATGTGTGTTGAGTGTGGAGTGGTGTGGTGTTCATCTTGTGTTTTTGGACACTGTATTCTAATGAGGGCTTGTTATAAGTTCCTATCTTGATTTCATTATAAAATGTGTGCTTAATTTGGAAAATGGGCATTCTAAATTCCTTCGCTACATTTTGTGTAATATCACATGTGCTCGCGATTGTTCTTCAGCCTTGCCTCTGCCGGGGTTTCTATCTTAACTTTCCCTAACCACCAAAGGTTTTCCTAGCTAAATTTC